AGTTTACCAATGTTAACTAACGAATCCTTATTGTAAAGTGTTTTTAAACAGTTCAATGTCTTTCAAACTTTGGTCCTCCAAAGTTGACAAATCAATTGTCTGTTATTTTGTTTAATTAAAAATTCATATGTTTGTTCTCCACTCTTCAAGAATAATTGTATATATACACTCACCGGCCACTTTATTAGGTACACCTGTCCAACTGCTCGTTAACACTTAATTTCTAAGCAGCCAATCACATGGCGGCAACTCAGTGCATTTAGGCATGTAGACATGGTCAAGACAATCTCCTGCAGTTCAAACCGAGCATCAGTATGGGGAAGAAAGGTGATTTGAGTGACTTTGAACGTGGCATGATTGTTGGTGCCAGAAGGGCTGGTCTGAGTATTTCAGAAACTGCTAATCTACTGGGATTTTCACGCACAACCATCTCTAGGGTTTACAGAGAATGGTCCGAAAAAGAAAAAACATCCAGTGAGCGGCAGTTCTGTGGGCGGAAATGCCTTGTTGATGCCAGAGGTCAGAGGAGAATGGCCAGACTGGTTCGAGCTGATAGAAGGGCAACAGTGACTGAAATAACCACTCGTTACAACCGAGGTATGCAGCAAAGCATTTGTGAAGCCACAACACGCACAACCTTGAGGCGGATGGGCTACAACAGCAGAAGACTCCACCGGGTACCACTCATCTCCACTACAAATAGGAAAAAGAGGCTACAATTTGCAAGAGCTCACCAAAATTGAACAGTTGAAGACTGGAAAAATGTTGCCTGGTCTGATGAGTCTCGATTTCTGTTGAGACATTCAGATGTTAGAGTCAGAATTTGGCGTAAACAGAATGAGAACATGGAACCATCATGCCTTGTTACCACTGTGCAGGCTGGTGGTGGTGGTGTAATGATGTGGGGGATGTTTTCCTGGCACACTTTAGGCCCCTTAGTGCCAATTGGGCATCGTTTAAATGCCACGGCCTACCTGAGCATTGTTTCTGACCATGTCCATCCCTTTATGGCCACCATGTACCCATCCTCTGATGGCTACTTCCACCATGTCACAAAGCTCTAATCATTTCAAATTGGTTTCTTGAACATGACAATGAGTTCACTGTACTAAAATGGCCTCCACAGTCACCAGATCTCAACCCAATAGAGCATCTTTGGGATGTGGTGGAACGGGAGATTCGCATCATGGATGTGCAGCCGACAAATCTGCGGCAACTGTGTGATGCCATCATGTCAATATGGACCAAACTCCCTGAGGAATGCTTCCAGCACCTTGTTGAATCTATGCAACGAAGAATTGAGGCAGTTCTGAAGGCAAAAGGGGGTCCAACCCGTTACTAGCATGGGGTACCTAATAAAGTGGCCGGTGAGTGTATATATTATTTATGTTACATAAAAACACTCATTCATTGATACAGCACCATTAAATGACAAGTCTGGCTTTGCGCTTTTTTTTTGTATGCCTGACCAGTTATTATTATGATTTCACTGCCTATTAATGTCATTTACCTTTGTTGCATTCCCAATGACCCATTTTTCCTTCTTTCTTTTTCTTCTCCACTCTAAATGGAACGGACACAATAACTTCATTTTACTCGCAGACATTTAATTACGGCCATGGAAATGATAGAGCCAGTGTACATTATCAGCAATTATTCAGTTGCAAATTGCATAATTGTTCTGTTTAGAGGTAAAAGTTAAATGTGATTAAGGGAGAGTTCAATATCATTTAGAAATGGTACTGATGATGAATGTGAAAAGGATATCAGTCTCTTACTCTCTTTGCAAAAGGCGGCTGTGATAATGGGGATGTTTGGATAAGAGAAGAGCCCTTTTCTAATCAGAATTCCTAAATGAGCTGTAATTGTTGTGTAAGCCCATCCATGGCTGATGGGCTTATTCTTTGTTGCTAGCAGGGGGAACGACTCATTAGCGGTATGCGGTTCTTATGAAGTCCAGGTACTGAAATGAATGCGAATGTTTTCATTTGCAAGATCATATGAAATCAAAGCACAAACTTACTGTAGTGTTTGATACAATGGGCTCTATCTTGCACTCGGCGCAAATGACTTTGTACACTGACGCATGTATCATTCCTATTTTGCACCCGCGCAAAGCGGACTTTTCCCTCCACAGACGCACGTCGGTTAACTAAGAAATACACTTGCGCTCCCCGGGGCGGTTCAGCGCAAAGAGGAGGCGTGTTCCGGCGCAAACTTTCCCTCATGCTATTTTGCTGTTCTATAAAACAATTGCGCCACTGACCAGAAAAAACCTAGTCTAAAGTCAGTGGCGCGTTGCGCGTTGTTCATTATGCTATTTTAAGCGCGCATGCTTGGCCATAATGTAGCGGGTGCACAACGCGCATACACTTTGATTATCTCATCAACACAGATGCAGCAGTTTTTATTTTTGCAAATCATACATTATAACAAGGAAAAATATTAACACATGAGGGAAATCATTGTGGTGTCCATGAAAATTTAGTTTTTTTTCCTCCCACGCCTGTTTAACCGACGCTGATTTGTATGGGGATGGGAGAAACCCACCCACGATAGATAGATAGATGGATAGATAGATAGATAGATAGATAGATAGATAGATAGATAGATAGATAGATAGATAGATAGATAGATAGATAGATAGATAGATAGATAGATAAGTCTGATTTGAACGTTGAATTTCTTGTTATTTCTGCATGCATTCTACTTCAGACAGTCAATAAACAGTGCCGTCTGAGGGTGTTTGCATGAGGGTTTATGCCATAGTTTACAGGTGCACGCAAAACACGCAATACAACGTCACTTCTCTGTCTTTCACGGTCCTGACAAGAACGTCGGTCTCCTCGGCTGTGAACCGCTCCTGACGCGCGCCTGGTGAATCCGCCGTTATAATAGCAATCCGCCATGCAACATGCGCACCTGCTCTTAAAGGGAATGTGAGATGACGCTCTGATTGGTTTATTCCACGTTACGCCCAAACCACACCTATGAATAATGAAGCTACTTCAGACCAACCTCTTTTAGATTTGCGCCAGGCGCAAGAGGCATTTATCCCGCCGGGAAAATAGCAACAGCGCCGGGATCCGCCCACAAAGTCACTTGCGCTTTGCGCTTTGACACTTGCGTTTCAGATCGTGCGCTGGGTGCAAGATAGGGCCCATTGTTTCAAAGTTATGAGAAGAATGCTCTCTGAAGTATTGCTTTATTATAATGCACAAATGAAAAAGATTAGTGTTACATTTAAAAAATAACATCAACAATACTATAGAGGCTTAACGTTTTAAGAGCTTATGCTGCCTTCGTGTGCTATCGGGATTATCGTAAAATATTACTGGGAAACTTTCGATTTATGTGCATCTTAAACATGACGGAGGGGAGAACGATTTCACGATTTCTGTTGTGACTGCTATTCTTTATTGTTTTTTTCCACAACAGCTACATCGCCGTGCATATTTACGCAAATGAATAAATATTTAAAGCAAATTGTATTTTTTGGGTGTGCAATGATACTCTCATGTCACGATTCGATACATATCACGATACTGAACTCACGATACAAAATTCTTGTGATACTCCAAGACATATGATAAAAGATTAACAAAAAATTTACTGTTGGTTAATATTCTAAATTTTATATTAGATTGTGTGTGTAAATGAATAGGCTCGGACTTGGTGCTGGTAACCCAATGCACAGGACAATGGTGACACCACCAGAATAAAAATATTGATGATTCTGAAGCTGAAAATACAGAATTATTTTAGACGAATATGCTTGCACTCTGTCACTGAGTAGATATATTTAAAATAATGTAGGCCACTTTTTACTGGTATCAGGACCCACAAATATTCCCCCATTACATTATTATACATTATATTCATCATTAGTAGTACCAGAGACAATTTATATAGAGACATGCCACTTCCCCAATCCTTAATACAACTATATAGGGAAAACCCGTAACGCCAAAGATGGCGGTTGTATGCACATGCCCCACCCCTCCCGCTGGAAAGCCAATCGTCTGCTTTTAACAGTCAAGCCGGAAAACATTTTAGCCTATCGTCTGGTTCCACCGACGCATGCGCACAGTTGAGGTTTGCGACAGCGGAAAATATGTTACTGTTTGAAAAGGCGGCAGATTTGATGTGTTAGTTGTGTAAATATCAGACATCCCAAGTCTCCCGGAAGTTCCGGGAGTCTCCCGCAGATTGATAGCGGCTCCCTGATGACCGCAAATTAGTTCAGAGAGCGAGAGAACCCTTGCGCATGCGCAGTAAAAGTATAACCTGTGGGGAAAAAGGCGTTTTAAACCTTATTTTGGGGCAAAGTCATCACACTTTTTCAGCGATTTTTATCATATTTTATTAGTGTTTGTATACATGCAGTTTTTATGTCCCGGTGACCAGTGAAAGTGCAGTTCTGGGTCTCTGCCCATTCATTTAGATAGGAGCCTGGTCTTGTTAGTCCGAAATAGCTGCCCGGAGGCGTTGCCAAGATGGCGGCCGAGTGGCATGACTTGCCTAAAAGGACTTTGGTAGTACTGACACTAAAACTCGTTTTCAAACTTATTGAAAACCTGATTTTTTTTTTCACACAGAATTTTAAATTTTAGGTTAACTAATATCCAGTATATTGTCACTATCCACGATACATTTTAATGCATTTTTGTATTGCGATATATTGTGACACCCCAAATGTTTTATACACCGAAATAAACATGTATTTGACCGAAATTCCAGAATCGTCAGCAAGTGTGAAAATGTATTATTAACATTTATGTCAGGATCCGTAGACCACTTTATCTTGCATATATTTTGACTTTTTGTGAATGTTCTTACGACTTGTGAAGCACATTCAACGTGCATGGGAACGTCTAAATGAAAGCATAAAGAACCAGGTGTACAGTATGTTTCCTGCAAACTGATAAGTGCATGAATGAATTTCAGCATTTATGTTCTCTAATGCCCTTTACTTGTTTGTCTGGGTGTATCTGTGTTAGTTCTACAGGTGTTTCAGAGCACTTCTCAACTGTGACAAACCCCAGCGAGGTTCCAGTATGAAAAGTTCTTCAAAGGCAACTAAACCTTTTCGGCCTGGACGGCGCACAGACAACTTTACATTTGTGGTGGCTTCAGTGGAACCCACAGCAGTCCTCAATAATACAAACCCAGTGGAGGACGGCCCTCTATCAACAGATAATGCCAGACCTGCAGTGGTCTCCCTTGTGGCCCATTATAATGGTTGAGAGTTATTCTGTTTCAAAAATGGCAAGACTTGAATAAACTTTTCACACAAAATGAGGTAAATGCAGTGTGGGATTTGGAGGATTTTACAGGCATATGGCGTATAAAAACTATGAAAAACGAGAAAAGGAAAGAATCCGGAGGGAAGCTAATTTTGTGAAGTTTATTTTTGTGTTCAATATGTGTCTGCTATCCAAACAACAAGGTGTTATATTCTAGTAGTAATATGTAGCTAGCAGTTCCTAATTCTGCAGATGTTGATATTACTATTTTTGTAGACATGTCCAAAAGATCTGTTGAGAAAAAAATACTATTCTCAGTACAGTAAACAACAGCTCTTAAATGTCTCTTTGAAAAGACATTTTTTTTGTAATAGTCCTGAAAAAAAACAAAACAAAAAAAAACGATATTTCTAACAATGTACAAGTTGTTAATTGTTTTAATGGTATTAAAACAAAAGGGTTCCCTTTCAGTCGCTCATGTTCGACGTAGTCATCATGGGCGTAGGTTTGGTCTCAGCTTTGGTGGGGACATCCCCCCCCATCTCAGTATATTGTATCCTGACCCCGATACACCATCCTGTATACTGTCAATAAAGAGCTAGTATAACTGTATAATCTCAAAAATGCACTCTCAAAAAATAAAAACCTGAGACTGTAATGCTGAACAACCAAACATTTTATTTAACATAAATTATTATGTATCTATCTTCGATTCTATATCAAATTCTATTGATATATTCTATCCTTAAAAAAAAAGCAAGTTTAACCCTCCTACCAGATATTGTTATTTGGATATTATCAAACAAATAATGATTCATTATATTTGAATAACCAACAGTGACAGTGTTTACTTTTGCCTTTTTAACATTGCCAATGTTTTTCCAGACATGTGTCTAGCAAGTAGGCTACACTCACAAATACAATACATAAACAGAATGTAGAAACGAAAAATGTCTCAGATGATCCACTGTTTATGACTGCAAGATTCTAAGTTAAGGTAGGCTAATTAACATTCAGTGACTTGCTAACGTCTATCATGATAGTGCGACTTCTATGAGTCTATCCGTGCTGCACACACCCCTAATTAATGCTCCTAATCTTGAAAAATTGCAGAAGCTAGGTTTAACTGTAACAATATCCTGGGTAACCAGGATCACCAGTTAATACTATTTTCCACAGTAGAATCTGCATTTGAAAGCATGGTCAGTCACTACTACTGCTAGTTATTTGTGTGGCTAGTTATTTTTGCCTACTTACACTCTGCTTTATGAAAAAGCTTCGTATGTCCCCTTTCTTCTTCTTGGGTGACATAGCTGATCTACTACAAAGTACAAAAAGGGGCAAAAAACGGAATATTAAAATGTATTACCCTGGCCTTTGTATATGCATGGATATGTGCATGCAGAGAGACAGCCCTGGGAACTTGCACACACACACACACACACCCGCTCGCTGCCAGTGAGTGCAAGCACAAAAAGTTGTCCCGGCCCGCGCGTGTAGCCTGCCTGTCAGATACCCCGCCGCCAATCAAATTAATCTTGTACTAAATTAATACCAAGGGCGTATCTTGTACTGTCGTCGTCCTGGCCGTTGGAATCGATCCAAATAGCAGCGCAAATATCAAAATAGCAGTTCAAAGGAGCTTGCTAAATATTGGTGGGGACAAATTTGTCATCTCAAAATATTGATTGGGACTAGTACCTAGCGTCCCCCCCTAAACCTACGCCCTTGGTAGTCATACGTTACGACTGATTGGGATCACGCTTAGGGAGCCTGTCATCTTCGAGTACTGTTAAAACGAGCCAATGGACATTTGCATCTCACACTCCGCCCCACAGCGTGGGTATAAATACGGAAGTGGATGCACGCACCAGTTGTCTTTCGCTTCGGAGCCGATCAGTCTTCATGTGGATGTCTCTGAAGAGTGTTGTTATATTACAATGAGCGAGTGTGTCTGTGCTTTTTCAGGAAGTATCTCCTGGTGGTTCTACAACGCGAGTACAGCAGTGGTCGCGAGCTTTCTGAGCTCTCAACTGCTGTTTTAACAGCATCACATTTCTGTTTGTGTTTGTTTGTCTGACGGCCGGTTCAGGGCAAAGAGAGTGAGTGCTTCACTGTTTCAGGCTGCACCATCCCTGTCAGTGTTGCTGCGATCATTCCCCTGTGTGCTCCGGCACTGGTGAGAGTTTTCAAATCCTGAAAGAGCAACACGGGTGCGTTTGCGTCTTTTTCAATCCACCCGTGCGTTTCTGGATGCGGTCGTTCCCTGTCCCCTTTGACGGTCACAATTGTTGCATCACGTGTTTGGGCTTACAGCACGTTAAAGAAGCTTTTGTGGATGGCTCATGTTCCCATTGCGGGAATATGACTGTCTCGTGTTGAGATTGAGACTCGCCTTTGTTCGCGAAGGTGGAGTCCCCACTACCATGCCCCACCCTTGGGTGCCGTGTGGGATGGGTGATCGGAGAATAGTGATGAATACCTGCCCGGTCCCCCGTTGAGCGCGCTGGTCCCTCTGTAATGGACCAACCAGACGTTTCATTCCTGGTCCCTCCAGAGGACAGGAGGGAGGCAGTTCCGCGGCTGGCTCCCCGGAGTCCAGCGGTACCCGAATTGTTGAAAGAGCAAATTCCTCCGTTCCTGGGTTCCAAGAGGGTCAGATTGGCGGTGTGCGACCCTGTAAAGCCTTGCACCCCTCTGTCCCCTCTTGTGTCGCCAGCCGGCAGCCGGGTGCGGTTCGAGGACCCGACTACGCCTTCTCCCGTACCCCCTGCCGACCCGTGGAGACAGGTAAGTGTTACATCGCACACTCAGACCTCGCTTCGGGCGGAACGTGTCCAGTCGGTGCTGAACAACCTGAATACTGTCAAGAGCAGAATAGTGGTCCCACTGAAACTTTTTCAGAGGCTCCTGGGGCATATGGCAGCCGCAGTAACACCGCTCGGTCTGCTCCACATGAGACCGCTTCAGCACTGGCTTCATGGCCAAGTCCCGAGGTGGGCGTGGCAGAGCGGCACGCTCCGTGTGACAATCACCCCGGCCTGCCGCCAAACCCTCAGCCTGTGGTCAGACCATTCATTTCTCCGGGCCAGAGTGCCCCCTAGAACAAGTGTCCAGGCATGCTGTGGTCACCACAGATGCCTCCAACACCGGCTGGGGGGCCACGTACAATGGGCATGCAGTAGCGGTGATCTGTATGGACCCCCAACTGCATTGGCACATCAATTGCCTCGAGTTGTTTGCAGTACACCTTGCTTTGAGACCCCTCAAAACGCCGCTGCTCGGCAAGCATGTACCGGTCCATACGGAAAACACTGCGACCATTGCGTACATCAACCATCAAGGTGGTCTATGCTCCCGTCGTATGTCACAACTCACCTCGTGCAACGTCGCCACACAGCTGGCCCCGGGGCCTCCGCAAGTATGCGTTTCCCCCAGTGAGCCTTCTTGCTCAGACACTGTGCAAAGTCAGGGAGGAAGAGGAGCAGGTCTTGCTAGTTGCCCCTTATTGGCCGAACCGGACCTGGTTCCCCGAACTTATACTCCTCTCGACAGCCCCTCCCTGGCCCATTCCTCTGAGGGAGGATCTTTCCTCTCAGGGACGGGGCACCGTATGGCACCAGTGTCCAGACCTCTGGAAACTCCATGTCTGGTCCCTGGACGGGACACGCAGGTTCTAGGTGATCTACCACAATCAATCGTAGACATGATCACTTCTTCGAGAGCACCCTCTACGAGGCATGTTTACACCCTGAAGTGGAACCTGTTCGTTTAGTGGTGATCTTCTCACCAAGAAGTCCCCCGAAGGTGTTCGATCGGCTCCGTGCTTTCTTTCCTGCAAGATGGGTTGGAGCGAGGGCTGTCTCCCTCCACCCTCAAAGTGTATGTTGCCTCTATTGCCGCACATCACAATGCAGTGGATGGGAGATCCGTAGGAAAGCACGACATGATCGTCTGGTTCCTGAGGGGAGTGAGGAGACTGAATCCTGCTCTCGCCCCCCTCTCTTTAAATCCTGCTCTTTAAAAAACGTTCTCCTGCTCCTGCTGCTCCATCAAGAGGGTAGGGGACCTGTACGGATTTTCGGTCGACGAATCGTGGCTGGAATTCGGGCCTGCTAACTCTCACGTTATACTGAGACCCTGGCCTGGATATGTGCCCAAGGTTCCTACCACTCCCTTTCGGGACCAGGTGGCAAACCTGCAAGCGCTGCCCCTGGAGGAGGCAGACCCAGCCCTGGCTTTTCTCTGTCCCGTCCACGCATTGATTCTATAGCTTACATGTCAAGCTGGTTATTTCCCGTGTGCTCTCTTCACATGAAGCCAGTTAACACCGTAGCCCCGCTCGAAGTGTCGGCTTGCCCTCCATTCCATTCCCCTCCTATGGACTGGATACGTGCCCCATTCTTGCTCTAGTTGAGTTCCCCTTTTACCAAACCCTGTTGAGTTCCTCCACACCCCTTTGGCATTGGACGTGGTGGGGCCTCTGATGCTAGGCTTACCACTTGTATGCACTGTGAAACTTGTGCTAGGCTGGGTCCATATGTTGTGATCCCTACGACGATCCCATATGTGTATTCTTCCACGGTACGGCTCCCTGTGGCGAGCCTGTGTCTTTCCCTTGGCAGAGCTCTCTATCATCACTTTCCGGTTGAGTCTCCCCCTGTCATAGGCTGGAAGCACCCTAGTGACATTCCATATGTTGTTCTGCCCGGTCATCCGCCCAGTCTATATGTGTATTCTCCACATGTTACCTCCCTACGGGCAGGATGTGGCTTCCGCAGCATCCCTTCCTTCCATTGATAGGGTACGCTTTCCCAGTGTTCCAAATCTAATTGGGTCTTGCGGAACAGCAGTGACTTCCCTGGACTAAGCCCTATCCCATCTCCGCCTCATTTATTGCGGGGGGATTAGAAGGCTTTGTCTAAGCACTTGAAGGTGACAGCACTAGTGGCGTTTTCATGGGGATCCCAATCAGTCGTAACGTACGACTACGTCGAACGTGAGCGACTGAAAGGGAACGTCTCGGTTACCTATGTAACCCTCATTCCCTGAAGGAGGGAACGGAGATGGTCCCTTTGCCACTATTACTGGACCACCGTTGACTCCGGGCTCCGCTCGGCTCCTCAGCGAAAAACAACTGGTGCGTGCATTCACTTCCGTATTTATACCTGTGCCGCGGGGCGGAGTGTGAGATGCAAATCTCGCACGCCAATGTCCATTGGCTCGTTTTAACAGTACTCAAAGATGACAGGCTCCCTAACCGTGTTCCCAATCAGTTGTAACGTACGACTACATCTCCGTTCCCTCCTTCAGGGAACGAGGGTTACATAGGTAACCGAGACGGTTTTCTACATATATTGTTTTTTTTGTTTGTTTGTTTTTCAGAAAAGAACAAAAAACAAAAAAAAGAGGGAAGTTGTGTATGACGATTTTTCCCCCAAATGGCTTCTAAACCTGTGTGGCCTGTATACAATGAATGTAAT